CCCCCTGCAACTCCTTTCCTCCCCCCACCCCTTTCTCCTCCCAGGCCCAAAGCAGAGGACTCCACTGGAGTCACAGAGTCGCCTTTGAACCGCAAGTGAACTCGAGGGCTGTATTTGCAGCCGAGCTCCCGCCGCTGCCTCCCAGTGAGGTGTCCGTTCTTGCCCTCCCTCCCAGGAGAGCGCAGTCCCGGGCTCGTCAGTTACTGAGCTAGGGTGCTAGGAAGCCTATCTGTCCTCCCCTTTGGGTGCTATTTCCTCCTCCACCCGCCTCAGCCTCCCTCCCACCCCACCCCCCGCCTTTTTTTTCTTGTTGCGGGTTTGGAGCATGGTTTTCGAGTGATTTTTTTCCTTTTTCATGGACAGTACCTGCATCCTTAGCAGTTCGGAGTTGGCTTCTGTTTTCCGTTAGCGCTTTGCTGCACGGACAAATGCCTACAAATGCATTTAGGAGCCCACAGGACAAGGCGTGGAAATGTCTCCCCCACGGCAAAAACGTAAGTAGCCCACCCGCCGGGGTAGAGGTTAGACCAACCCCTCTCTCCACCCCCTGGATCCGCTGAGCCGGTTGGAGATCTGTGATCGGCTCCCCGGCGCTCTTAGGAGCTGGGAGCGGGAGAGCAAACCGTAGCATCCTCCCCTTGTCTTCTCAGTTTGTAAGATACAGTGTTTGAGAGGAATTCCCGTGCCAGAGGGTCTCAGACGGTTTATGCTAAAGCGATCCTGCGGCTCGGGAGGAACAGCTCGCTGGCGCGTGTCCCAGTGTCCTCCGCTGCGACTCCAGAGCTGGGCTCCGACGCCCGCGCGGGCTCTGCTCTCGCCGCCCTCGTGCCCTCCTTCCCTACTCCAACAGCAGGGTCTCCCGCAGAGGTCCTGCTTCCTCGCGGTGCTCCTCAGGGCGTCCAGACCGGCGGTTGCTGGGACGCTAGCGGTCCCCGGGCTCTATTTGCGCGGCCTGGACTGCTGGGCACAAGCTTGGGGCAGGGTTGCCCGGTGGGGGGAGGGGGTGCCTGCAGAACCTAGGGGGTCGGGGCACTGCTCGACCCACCAGCCCAGAGGCAATCGCCTCTTGTTAGAAGGCCAGCAAACGTGCTGCCCATCTGGAGCCGAGGCTACGCTCTGCCCACTGGCCTGTCAGTGGAGAAGTGGCGCTTGCTGCGGGGACGCAGGTCGGGGGGAGGATGCAGGACGCGGGGGCGGGGCTGCCCATGCCGGGGAGGGTTTGGGCGGCACCCTACCTCCCTTTTGAGCTCTGTACCTGCACCCACCCCGTCCCAGGGAAAAGGGCATGGATAGGGGCTGCACAGCCTTGGCTGGCTGCCCTGGTCCCCCTGGATGAGGTCAGTGGGTTACACAAGTTTGCTTCTGGCCCCCGGAGAGAGGAGCGAACGCGGCTGTGGTGGCTTTCTGCAGAGAGGCTGCCCCTAGGGAGAGGCGGTGGGAGGAGGGCAGGGGGCAGAACTGACCGCGTCAGCTGAGGGCAGGCGGAGGCGGGATGCGGAGAAAGACCGCCTTGTGGCACTGTTTGTATGGACACGTGCTTCCCAGCCGCGTGCCGCCGAGCCCGGCTGCCCGGGGCGCTCGCTCGCTCTCCTCTGGCCGCGCCCCGCTGACCGGGATGCAGCTCCTCGCGCACCCCTTTTCGGTTGAGCCAGTGAGGAGGAACGCTCGCCACCTCCGCAGCTCTTTCTGGGCGTGCAGCGCGGTCCTGGAGGCTCGGGAGACCCGGGTGCGTGAAGAGGTCAAGCTCTGCCAGTTCCTTCCCTGAGCGGCTCACTCGGCTCACGGGGAGTTCCCAGCCAGGAGCTTTCCCGCCACTTTTCTGGATGAACCTCCCTCTGTGTGGACCCGCCCGGAGAGCGGGGCGCGGGGTTGGACCTGTGGGAACTGGCGCATCTTCCCGCCGATCCGGGGCTGGTGCAGAGCAAGGCTCGACACCCCGCGGGTCCAGGGCCACCCGGAGAAGCCGGGCGAGGCCCTGTGCTTGCTGTGCTGCCGCTCCCGCCCGCGGGCTTTCTCCCTGCCTCTGCGCGAGGCCCACGTCGCTGACTAACATTCCCCTTGGTAGTTGTGACCAACCTCGCGGATTAAAGCCGATCTTCTGCTCCTGGCCTCTGTCTTGTTTGGTTTACACTTCCCTTCCAGACGCTCCCAGAAAAAGCCCTGCATAAATTCTTGGGCAGTTTGGGATTTGTAAATTGGGTCCAGATGATTGGGGGGAGGGAGGCAGGGAAACCAAATAGAATGGATTCCACTGGAGGAACTTACGAGGAAAAATTATACTACGTGGAATGGGAAAAGAACCCTCGTGGGGAGACGTCGGGATGGGTGAAGGCGCTGGTCTCCCCTGACCTCTTGGAGGGCCCCCCGGTCAGGGACTTTGCAGACTTTGGACATCTCGTCCTAGCCAGTTTATTCCATTACGGTGGCCTGTGGGGATGGGCTGCAGAGAATTAAGGATAATTCTTAATCACATTAGGTGCCAGAACCCCACAGCTGCAACCACACATATGCAAAGTGGGGGAAAGGTAATGATCAGGTAGTTAATCGTTTCTAGAAAAAAATCAAATTTCCCTAAAGAATTTGTAGTTCTTCAGTTTGAAAAAAAATGCCACCAAACCGGGGGGAGGGGGGGGGGGAGAGACAAGCCGGTAAAAACAGCTGATTAAGCTGATGCTAATGTCAGGCCACTGAATTAAACTTTAGAGTCCCTAATGAAATCCCTGAGGTTTTAATCTTCCACCATCCTTTTGTGGTGATGTTTTGTACAAGCAGTAGCAGCTTTTTAAAATTACAGTTCTGATTAGTCACCCCCAAACATTTACAGTTTAAAACTTGATCCTTAAAGACATTATCTTTCATAGGGCTGCTTTTAGAAGGGTTGCCTAATGTGAATTTGTAGAATTAATAAAAAATTAAAATCCCAAAGTCAGCGTTAGATTATCAGTCAGGCCATTGTGGTAGTTAAAGTGTTTTTATAACCAAGAAAAATTTTGGATATAAAGATCTATTTTCTTAGCTGGCTTGAAATTCTGTTTTTTAAGTTGCTTAGTTATCTTTGTGTTCAAATAAATGTTTAAAATAAACTAATGTCTCAGAGTGAGGACATGTGATTTATGGAAAGTAATTCTGAGTGTTCTTTAGACATTCTGCTTGGTAATCTGTGAAGATGCAGGAGAAAAATTAATTTTATTATGGCAATTAGAATAGCTGTGGTAGTTTCCTTGCCATGCCTTGCAATTATGACTAATTTAGAATTTGTAACTTTGAGTGAGAAGTAAAGATCATTTCATTTTCAATCTCATAAAAGGCTAAAATTATTGTCATTCATTTACTTATCATTCATTCCCTCATTTATTCAACAAATGTTTACTGAGTTCCAACTATGTGCCCAGTGTGGATTTAGGTGATGGGGATACAATGGTTGAGCAAGACAGAGATACAATTACTGTCCCCTCAAAGTGCCTAGTCTAATAGAGGAAATAGTAAATGAAACAACCAAGTAGAGTTGTCCCTCCCCCCATCCACGGTTTCAGTTATTCAAGGTCAACTATGGTCTGAAAATATATAATGAAAAATTCCAGAAATCAACAATTCATAAGTTCTAAATTTTGTGCTGTTCTGAGTAGTGGGATGAAATCTCACACCTTCCCCTCTGTCCCTTCCAGAACAGGAATTATTCCCTTGTCCAGCATATCTATGCTGTATTCGCTGCCCTCCCGTTAGTCACTTAGTAGCCATCTTGGTTATCACATTGACTGTCTGATAACTGAGGTATCTGATCATTGCAGTATCATGGGTTGTGTTCAAGTAACCCTTATTATACTTAATAATGGCTCCAAAGTGCAAGAGTCACTTTCTTAGCTAAACAAGTAGAGGTTAGAGAGACCTGACTTTTCTTGATCTTGGGATCAGTGTGCAGGTAGGAGATGCTAGAGAAGTTATAGATTTGTTGAATTCAAGACTACCTGATAGTCTTTTACTGACTGAAGATTGTCTGATTTATTCATTCATTTAAAAATCTTTATTTAACACTAGTACAGTGTGTGCCAGTAACTTTGCTAGGTTGTGCAACAATCAGTTTCACAATCTCTGTAGTATTACTAGGACAGACTAGTTTATGTATATTTTTCTTTCCTCTTACTGACTGGACTTGAGGCATTTTGATTTTCTGAAGTCCTTAAGCATTTATCTCCCTTGCACTTCATGAATTGCTTCAATGATAGGAACTGAATCAAAACTTGTAATATGCTTCACACTAGATTATTGCTAGATTAGCACCTATTGAGTTAAACTGATATCTTGAGAAATTCATTGTATATAAGTTAGTGACAATACTTTACTCCCTGAATCATCCAACTTTCCAAAACTTGTAGTATGCTTCACACTAGATTATTGCTAGATTAGCACCTATTGAGTTAAACTGATACCTTGAGAAATTCATTGTATATAAGTTAGTGACAATACTTTACTCCCTGAATCATCCAACTTTATCCTCACTGTTGTGATGAGGAATTTTTCTTCGGTTATTTTGGGAACAAAGAACAGAAATTTTACTATTTCTGGATCTTAGCAACTAGTAAAGAGCAAAATCTGTAAAGCTGCCATGACTTAGAGGAGGTTTTGGCATGTAAAAGGAGTGTGGTGGAAATTGCTGATGTTATCGATGTATATCACATGTGTGTTTTTCAGATTAGTTCACCGTTTTCAATTGGTTTAAAAGAAAACCACAAACTCACAAAAAAGTTTTTTTATTCACAAGGTTTCATAACTCCTTCTTACTATTATAAGTTGAATCTATGTAGGAATGAACATCAGTAGCCTAAAGACGTATATTATAATACCTAAGGGTCTCATGGGTACCTTAAATGAAAAGATCCAAGGAATTCCCCTAAAGTAACTTGGATCCTTCTGATAAAGCTGGATAGTTCTAAGAATCATCTAGGGAAGATGCCTGAGATGGGCATTAGTCCCTTTTCTGAGTACGGTCTTTAGATAGTTATTTTTTGCCTTATTCCCTTCAGGTCTGTACCCTTACATGTCTACTTATGCTTGGTCTGTGGCTGATGTCAAACTGAAAATGTGGCTAGCCAGCCAGACATGTGCAGCATGTTTCATATTTTGTCAGATATCTATATCATGGGTTATATTTTTTGAACCTTTATTAAATGTTTTTTTACCATATTACTGACGTCTTTAGACCTGGTCTGATTTTATTAAATGTCTGAGTGTTTGTACTTCTGTTACTTTGCATTAGTGACACATGGTCCAGACATATAAAACAGTGAGCAAAAGCAAACATGCTTTGAATATTTGAAAACTATTCATATTTAATACACTAACAAGACCTTTTGTTGGAGTAAACTAAATATACAAACAAATTAGCAAACTTAGCAGACTGTTTTAGGTTACTTAATTAAAAGAGTATTTGACCAAAACTGTAGGAAGACCTTTCCGGATTTGTAGTTAAACATGTCCTTTATATATAGTGATTTATATAATATCTTGCTAAGTAATTTGGTTTTTGTTCTCTAATGCCAGTATATTAATAGGATCCCATCATACACACAAATTGCAGGATTTTATATATAAAATGTAAAATATAAAAATATAAAATTTATATTATATCATGACATAATAGATGAATCAGCTAAGACTCAGAAAAGGACAAAGAACAGCTGCTGCCCTTAAGGACTCTATTATCTACTGTTAATGTGTAAACCTGATGTTTTTTCTTTAATAAGGGAATGTATAGTAAATATAATAACATAGAGGGGGAAACCCAAAGAAACAATCCCAGCCCAAACAGACAATTCCCAGAAAGCTTGGATTCATTAGACATCCGTTTTATACAACGATAGAGTTTGGCTCTTTATCAAACTGATTATATCAATGAAACTTGATCTCTTCTCTGGGTTCCCACTTCAGAGATAAGAAAAACAGTGAAATTAAAAAAAAAAAAAAAAAAAAAAAACCCCC